TAACCGACTTTAGAATATAACATCAGTTTCCACCACCATCGCTATGTTGTCCTCAATCCGAGAGGCTTTGGTCTGCATGACATCGGTGGATCCTAAAGAGTGTCACGGGGTAATGGAATTACAGGAGCGGCTAGTCCCAGTGAGCCGAACTCATATCAAGAGCATTGTAGACTTGCTGAGAGCGACACCAACACCAACAACCTTCAACTTACCAGCAAGGAGTCCTGCTCGATCAAGCTCAATATCATCCATGATTGGGTCAGACCAATCTTCCAGCCTCGATTTCGCACGTCTTGATCACGTCAAAGGGAAAGGAAGAGGATTAATTTCAGATAATCCTTCAACTCTATCCTTTCCTTCGCTGTCACCAAAATCTCCATCATCATCTCTTTCCGGGGCTCAAGATGACAATTCAAATGTGCAACCAGAATCCGTCAAAGAGTGCAGGGGCCCCAAATTTTCATGCGACATACTCAACAACGAAGCCAATCCACCCTCTGCTGACTATCTCCTCTCAGCAATTGACTCAACTTGCGGAAAAGTGACTGGACCTGTTGCCACTTTCAAACATACTATGTCATCTTCAAATATTATCAATAGTAGGAACAATTTATCTCAATCGGTGGTGCCAGATCCATCTCAGCAAGAGGATGCTGCAACTTTATCTTCATCTCTCCCAGAGATCACAAGAGCGTCAACAAGGAGATCGAAAAAGACTGGTCTTCTGGTAATTTTTTTCACATTCCAACTATATCAAAGCTGTATTGATCAATTCATCTGATGTTTTGCTTTCTCAGTGGCCCTCATCTGAAATGCCAATGAAGCGCCTTGTCGAATGGTATCTGGAACATCAGAAGGAAAGGGGTAAGCAGAAAGTATGGGAGAGTTTTTTTTCACCCGAGTTCAAGTGGGATCATACCTCCATGTATCGATACCATCGATGGATCAAGAATGTCACCACCGAGCGTTGGGCTGAGTGGTTCCTGCAGTGTGAGAAAGATGGTATTCCTGCGACGTTTGAAACTGCAAAGTCAGCAGATCACTTTGCAAAAGAATTGGCATCATCACGGTAATTCATTAAGTAAATCTTCAATTGAATCATTTCTTTGCAGCGAGTATTTACAAACTTGCCTTTTTTATCATGTGTTATCTTACTTAATATGCATCTTTCTCATGAGCGCGTCCTAATATTACATTTTCAACTAATTAATTACATTCAATTGTGTTTGTTTGAGTCGAGTTTTGTTTATTTTAGAGTGATCTTTGATTAGTTTTAAATGTATGTCATGGATCAATCACCGAGATTTAAGCGACTTATCTCAACCTGATCAATGAGTAACTTTGAAACAATCTGTGTTATAGAACCAATTCGCAAATGACTGCATACAATACAAAATTGACCCTGTGTTTTTATAAACCAGTCATATGACAGCCATGGTTATACACTGGAATATAACAGCCAAATATAGGTTCACTATACTTGGGTATGAGCTCAACATATGGTTGAGCTGTGATGAGCCTTTTTGACTTTGAGAGTCACCAAAATCTTGATCGATCGACTTGATCGATCGACTTGATCTTGGTAAATTTGATTGAACTGATTGACTAACTTGCTTGATTCACTCATTTCACTCAATTCACTCGGTCCTGACCTAATCAAACAGTTTGTCTGTCTAAAACATCCAGGATACCTTACCGGTGGTGTGTTGTGTTTTGAGTCTTACTTTGTCACAAACAAAATAAATAAAATCCAAGATTTGGTTTTGGTTTTGGTTTTGGGAGATAAGAGATTTAAAAAAAATGTGCAGCTTGTCTAGATCAGACATGTGAAAGGATTAGTTCGTGTGAAAAACATGTGATATCAGCTAGGTAATTTGATCTCTTGAATCATCTGTTTTCACTGTTATGGGTTTGAGATCAGGTTAAGATAATGGAATTTCATTGTATTAAAAAGATGGAGTTGAAGCCAATAAATATGATACAAATGGAATGGTATGTGTAATTGATGATGAATAAGATATTATATAAAGAGAAATTCAAACTGACAGCGGAAATGGACTTTGTTGAGCAAGGTGTGATGGGATGTTACAGCAGAACTTCGTTTTGCGGACAAGCTTTGAAATTAGAGATTGGTTCCGTACACGTATCATCTCTTCTAAAAAAAACCTGTAGTTTATCTCATGCATGCCGCGGCATATGGATAGAAAGCGACCATACCATGCGTTTGTAATCTCGGCTGCAGACCCATTGAAGCGCCAGTTACCATTGGGTTTCTTTAGGAATGGCCAGAGCTTTGGATCATTATATTTACGGCACTGAGCATCTTTTTCCGAGTGCGTGCGCATATGAAATGGGTCTACTGGTCGAATGGTTCCCTTGAACCTGCCCAGTGCCGGAACATCCTTCCTAAGAGATTTGTCAAATGTACATGAGTTGTCAAAGAATTGTATTGGTGGAAGGACTGGAAATTTCCGTTCAAGGATCTCCTGTGGACCAAGATCACATGAATTGTTAGGCTTAGTATGTAAACAAAGGCAAAAATGGAACTAACCCTGACTAATATGACAGACTCGGCTCGATACATTGTTTCTCTAGCCAGTGTAATACCACATGTGGCAACAAAAAGGAGATTGTTGTGTGTCTTTGCGTTGGAGCAAATCGGCTTCTTGTAGACTGGCTGAGCGGCCTCTTCTCCATCACGCCCAGCTTCATGGGTGCGATCTGACTCATCTCCCTCCACCAAAGCGTCAATGTTGAAAGCATCGGTATCAGCATTGAGCGCTGCTGTTGGATCCTTGGGTAGTTTTGCACCTGTTCTCTGGTTAAAGGCCAATGCAGCATGAGAGCGAGTTCTCTTTTCATGTCGAATTTGAATAGCTTCCTGACGCTCGGGTAGGTTGCATGCCTTGGAGTTGCCAATGGCATCAAGGGTACAGGGCTGTGCGTGGCAGAGTTTCCCAAGGAGTAAATCATGAGCAGGACAATATCTATCCTTTGGTGTCTCAAGCATTACAGTGCACGGCGGTGGATTGATGATCTCCGGATTTAATGATACAAGCTGTTCCTTGGTAGCACTGCATCGAGGATGTCCAATTGTAATTCCATCCATGGCTATGGCTCGGAGAGCTGGTGACATCAGAAGGTAAATCAAGAGTGTGATTAATCAGGTATGAAGAATTACTAGCTAATTATGTAATATTTAATCTTACCCAAACCTCCTCCTTCAACATTAGGGTCTTCCAGGATTTCTGTGCATTCCGAGCACATGTGATCAATATAGGGACTTCCCTCAAGTTCGGTCCATGTGAGAACGGTCAACTTTGATTTTCGAAAGCGATGGCGAGATCCTCCAGAGTTTGATACACTCATTGGAATGTTCCGGAGGTTGAATTGTCGGAGCAAGCAATGTACATCTAACGCAGTAGTGCAACAGTGGTCGGAAAGTGTTGGCCTGAAGTTTTCAGTTTTGAAATGATTTGGGGCATCCTCCAGCAGTTTGTGACTGCTATTGTAGATAGTTACGAGATTATATACTGATACGCTGACAAAACCAAAGTGAGCATGAGTGTTAGCTTTTTGATTTGGGTAAGGATCCGCAAGAAATGAATATGTTTGTGATGACTTACTGGGCTAGGGATTGTGCATAGTTAAAAAATTCAAGCAGTCGTATTGTCATGAAATAATGCATATTGACTTGAATACAATCTGGATCATTTCTTGTTGTATCTAGATAGTAGGTGCGCTGCCCATTCTTCTTGGAAGAATATGACGCCCGATAGCTGGTCTTGCAATCTGCACAAGATGAAATCAATATGTGGTTAGAATATATATTTTGTTTAGATCAATAAATTATGATATTAATGGAGTACTGACGTCGGCAATAGGTGGTGTGGTGCCGAACTGACTTGACGCCATCAAGATCATATAGATATGCACACAGAGCCACCCTTCTTTCCAATCGACCCTGGCATTTGTGACTGGGGCATTCGTCTTTGTAAGGCGGCCAAAATATCCGTTCCGCGATATCAAGTGCGCCAGGCTCTTGATCTTGACTCAATCCCTTATCTCGAATTAGAGCAACAGGTTCAATGTAAGATGATTCCAGGCTGGAGTAAAGTACTGTCCATAGTACTTCCCAAGTTCCAGGTACTAGAGGCTCAGGCAAAACACTATTGAGATATTCATATGGTGCATTGTCTTGGTTGACTTTGATTGAGGCTTGATTGATCTTTATAAAATGGCTGGCAACCGTAACAAATTGGAACACATCTTCGCTGTCGAGGGTGTCTAGCACAGAGGGGAACTGAGATAATTGTCGATATATTTCAGAAAAACGCATGTTGCCGGCCTATATAGCTAAGTGAATGTTCTCTAAAGATGTGAACAATTTAAAGAGGTGTGCGTTGTTGTATATGGTCCCCAGGATTGGGATTTCAGCATGTCCGATGGAGGCTGAGCTGACTATCTATGTAGTTACAATGATAATGAAACGATGTGTGCGAATATGGATGCAAGTAGATTTATTGACACCTCGCAGGGCGTTGTGTGAATTTTAATAGACGAAAGAGTTAGGTCTTAGCTCCTGTATATGGTTAGGGAACATTCCCTATAACGTTTCTAGGGAACGTTCCCAAAGTTCCTCGAATGCGACCATGTTCTGAATCTTCACCCTATCCTCCCACTTTCCACATGTACCTGCCAGAATCCAAGTATGTATCAACACTTTTTACACCATTTCAAAAACAAACAAACCAAGTCCATCATCAATACATTCAAAAACAAATCATTCAAACTTTCAACGGAACAAATCATCAACTTCAAGCTCCAATGACCTTTATTCGATATCATCCAACTTGACCGATTATCAAATCCAAACTCAAATTGAACTTGATACACTTCATGAACAAGTTAAGTTATTTCAATCCCACTCTGATATTGATGGAAATAATTATTGATTTGATGTTTTTCCAGCTTCAATTCTACCTGGTACCACACCACCTATCTGAACTGAAATCAGATCCAACTAAATCAGTTAGATGGCGTAGACCTGTACTTGTACTTATGAATGTTCAATCAGGTTTAGATCGAGTCAATATCAGTCCATCATATTGCAAAACCATTGAGGTAAGTCAATCTGAAACTTTACGACACACAACTTTCCTCAACTCTAATCCTGCTTTAAATGTCAGGCTACGTTCACATTCCCACAATCAGTAGGAATAGCAGGAGGAAGACCATCACAATCACTCTTTCTGTGGATTTCAATCTGATTCATTATTTTACATCGATCCACTTTGTCCAAGACGAGCGATTCCATTAGAAGAACAACCAGGCTAATTATCAAAAGCAGCAAAATTGATACCATCAATGAGTGATTTAAATAATTGATCGGTCCAATCGATCGATTAGAAGTTAGACATGATGTGGATTGGGAACAAGTTCTGAGTCCGCTTCACAAACAATTCACTGATTGGATCATAACTACAGTTTACAAGATCTCGATCGGTTCGGATCAGTTTAATAGATTCAAGTGAACAATCCGTCCAGAACCTGAAAACAAAAACAACACAACCCGAGAAAGTCATTTTAGATCAGAGGTTCTATAAATCAACTTCAAGACCCTACATCAATACCATCAACCAACACATTGACCACCCCAATTGAATGGTTAAACCAGCTCCAGCCCTTAAACCATGATATCATTCAGTATCATTAGATAATCAAACCCAAGCCAAAGGTATTCTCAGAAATACAAAAAAAAAGATGATTGTCATGACAGAAAGATTGAATGTGTTATAAATGATTTGGTGGAGCTTATCAAACAATATAGAGTTTTTAAATTGATTGACTTTGAATATAAATCAAACGTAAATGATAATAATATATTAGAATCAATTCAAAAAGTTAATTAATTCAATCTAAATCATAATCATAATCAAAATCATTTCAAGGTACTCACTCAAAAACACTTTCTCAAGTTTTTTTGGGTAGCAAATCAAAATACTTATTTTGAAGTTGTTCTTTGTCTAAAGTCATGTAATTTCAGCCTTTGAAGAACAACTTCAATGGCCATAACCAGTAAGATATCCCATAAATCCAAAGATATCCCATAAATCCAACTCATCCAAAATTGACTTGAATTTTCAAAAGCATTTCAAACAATTTGTCAATTTTAAAGCAGGTCATTTGATCTTTCTTCCCTCTTTCTCGAATATACTCAATGACTAACATTCATTTTATTTTTGTCTGTGTATGTATAGATTTGGACATGAAATGATGAATTTTTCATATAAAAAAGATTGATTTGAATTATGGAATGGTTTTGTTTCCATTACCTAATTTGAATGCAAGCAATGCTAAGTCTATTGGACTTAGGTTTAGGTATCATTTTGATAGTTGAAGATCTACAAGTTGATTAGACAAGGTAAATATCAATGTTTTCACTTGGTTTATGTTTTATTCATTTAACTCTTTGGTTTTTTGGAATAGTCTCAATGGTATTGATCATATACTTCATTGACTAGAAGAATATGAAAGTTTTATAAAAAGATACCTCCAAAGCCTAATGAATACAAATGGATATGATCAGTCAGATGCAATGGTCAGTTCATCACCAAACCCACAACAAAAAATAAACTGAAGGAAAGAATTGCAGTTTTTTCTCTTAGACTGAATTTTCAACTTTGTTATTGTAATGATTGAAAGAAATTAAAACAAATTATATCACAAGTATTAGAAATTAAGCCAATTTTAGCACATACAATTTGTAGGTCTATTGAATACAATATATTTATCAAAGAAAAAGTAGTTCAACCTATTTTTCAATTTTCACCTGATCCTCCTAAAAATGGAAATTAGATTGGTACTCGTGGTGGTTTTAGGAAATGAAACTTGGTCTGAGATTTGATTTGAAGCAGAAAAAATGTAAATTTTTTTGAACAATTTTTTCTTTTTGTTAAGGGATTGGTATCAGATCTATAACTTTAAATGGAGGCTCAAATTTAAAACTTGATGTTGAGCATGGTTAGATCAATACAATTATGGGATACAAAGTTAAATCTGGGATTTTTTCCCAGTTTCCCAGTTTTTGTTTTTGGCTGTGTTTGGAACTTTCCCATGGTGTCCCAGCTTCCCAGTTTGCATTTTTGGCTGTATTTGGGAAACTGGGAAACTAGGAAAAAACGCCCAGATCTAACTTTGTATCCCATAAATGAAAGAAAATTTAAAAATTTGTGAAGTCGATTCAAACAGATTATTTGATGCTATTGAACTTTTGTCTTTAGAAAATAGTTTAATAATCAAGGTGAGAAGAAAGGTATATTATTAAAGTTTGTGAAGTTCATTTTGATGAAGAATAAAACAAAGAATATAAAATTGTGAGAAACAAGTTGGGGATTGACAAGAATGAGTTGAGAAAAGATGAAGTTTGTGCTGTTTTGAGAAGAAGACCTGAGTGTTGGAGATGATACGATTTTTTTCTATGTATGATTGTTGGTTTTCTTGCAAAGTTTGAAAGATTTTATTGGGTTTCTCTTTGGGTTTGTTATTAGATGGGCTTCATACATATTATATACCTGAGTTGAGGAAGAAGAAGAAGAAAATGTATCAAACAAAAGAAACATAGATAAATCAAGTCTTAAATGTATTGTTGGTGAAGTTACAAAAACAGAAGACAGACTCCATGGTTATTGTTGATTGTGAATGTAACATTCTTTAACCCAATTGACCTGTACACATTATTGAGTTTCTTCACAAGGATATGATTTCAGGTTTGGGGTTTGTAGTAATCTGTTTTAAGTGTCTTTTGTTTTGTCTGTCAAAATTCTTGAGCTTATTTGTGAGCTCTGATTATTGAATGGGCTGTTTAGTATGGCATATATAAGAAGTTGAATGTGCAATGTGTGCACACCTGGGAATGTTTAAAAGCTTGCATGGAAAGACTGCAGAGTGATTGGTTGATGCCATAAATGCTCACAAGTAAATGTTGCCAAATTGCTGCATGAATGAAATTTGATTCAATGATGCGGCGCCCGCCGCACAGTTGTGCTAGTCTGTGTTAATTGAAAGTCCTATAAAACAAATTGTTAGAGTGTTGTTAGCGTGAAGAATAGTTATTATCTTTTTTTTTATTTTAAAGTTGAATTGGGATATTGTGTGAAAAAGAAGAAAGTAAAAGACTTAATTTTATTTGTTTCGAAATAGTCAAAAGAATTGTTATTGTTGTAGTTTGGTAGTGTTTCTTTTGAAGAGTGGTGGATGCTGAGTTTGGTCGTGTTCTAGTCAACAGACCATAAAGCAGTCAAAGCTTTAAAATCAATCAGTAACCCGCCTCTTGATCCAAGTCGAGGCCGGGTCGAGTCGGGGTCATAAATTCATCCCAGACCTGTACCAGTGTGTTACAACCTTGTGAAAATCAACACTCAAGCTTGAAGTTACATATCTCTGTACTGCAAACTTGTGTAGAGTCGTGTGTAATAGTGTTAGACTCCGCTCAGTGCTGCGCATCCAACCGTGTGGTGTAAATTAGGTTTCGGGAAACCTTAAAAATGCAAGAAGTGAAAAGTAGAGAAGCCTCATTTTGAATTTTGAAATCATTTTCAAAGGACAAGGGCAGCTTCACAGCACCTGTAGTTTCATCCGCTCTCTTGAGTGGTGATTCTTCCCCTCTCTGGCTCAGCCTACGCTACACTGCATAGGAGTTCTACAACGGGGGTTGATTGAGCAGAAGCGGTGCTTTCGGGGGTGGTGAAAAAGTCTCCACGCCAAACTCAAATTTGAGTAGTGCTGCTCAACCACCAAGCCCAGGCAATTAGTCCTAAGTCCCTCACCAGATACCCAAGCTTGCAAGGAAGAAGTGTCTGACTGTTGGACTTAGTTAAGTTAGATATTTCAAATTGACAAAGTGTGAGGTGTGTAGAGGACGAGGATACTGGACAGATCACGATTCAAGACAGAGACACATCTATCCACCAGCTCACGGAGTGCTTTTCAATAAATATTTCACTTGATTTCATTCATTTGCCTTTCAAAAGCAATTGAAATACTACTCATAAAACAGACTGATGAAGCTGATACAAAAAAACAGTTCTAAAGACTCCCAAAGCCTTATAATTTGAATTCTGAGAGATCAGATCAAAGTTTGTAATATGTCATAAGCCCAAGTTAGGTAGCATTGTATCTGATGATGTACAAGTTGATAAGTGTTGATTGATAAAAGAAAAATGATATTCATCTGGTTTGTTAATCAGAGGTGGACTCAAGATTGAATCAAGATAATGATCAGAATGAGTAAGTTCATGAGTTTGAGTTTGATTAGTTGGATGTCTATTGAAATCGAGATGGATTGGTATAGGTAAACAATTCTCAATTTGATGATTTGATGAGCTCATAGTTTGGGTTCTCTTCCTGTCAGGATAGAGTTTGTGAATTATTTACGGGGTAGGAGAATTTTACACCGTCTGCTTTACACAGGGTGAGCCTGTGTAAAGTGGGGTTGGTGTAAAATTCACAAAAAGGGGGGGTATATTCGAATTTTGTACCTGTTTTGAAATTTTCTTGTCCGTGTAAATAATTCCGGTGTGAAAGTTTCAGTGTAATAATACGCCCACCCAGCAAGACTTCGAATTTTGCACCGGGATGTTTACACAGAAAGTTCCGGTGTAACGAATTGTGGTGTAAATACCAGGGACCCGGCGCTAACAATTAATTTTGCACTGAGTTGGGTTACACAGGACCGGTTCTGTGCAAAAATCCCCAGTGTGAAAATGACCATGAACGTGCCATATTACAATTTTACACCGAAATGTCGTAGTTTCTACACCGCACAAGTTTCATCAAACCATGGAAGTACATTCCCATGAAGACATGCAACCGAACAAGGGTTGAATAGCCTATATAAAGGAAACCAAACACCAGGAATAACAACAGTAAACAGTGATAACATTGGAATACACTTTGATGATATCAAAACCCTCATATCCGTGAGACCGGAGAAGGTTGTAACGAGAAGTTGATTCCTCTTTCATCAACTTCACATCCACTTCGCCATATAGAAGTGTGCTACAAACTCCCAAGAAGGCTTTCCAAGCCCAGCGGTTCAATTCAAGCAATACTATCATCTTTTTAAGTATTTACGGATTCAGACACGGTTAGATTGACCCCACCGAAGATGGGACAAGCCGCAACACATCATGATGGTGCCATCAGCAAAGAAACTTCATGTCTAGATGAAGTGATAGTGTCTTCTTGCAAAGAAGATAACACCTCTTATTGCGATAATAGTTCATCGTCATCTTTCAATTGCATACCTGCAAACAGCAACAGCTTATTCCGAGATCACTTTTCATCAACATTGAAATATTTACTTGCAAACCAGAGCTTATCCCAAACTCCATCTTCCGCTATGATCAACAAATCCAACTCTTTGTCTAAAGTGTCTTTCACATCGAAAGACACTGAAAACAAGGATGACTTGTCCGGCACAGACAAAGACCCAAACCGCCGCACTAATCTCCAACTACCTACCGACAAATCTATATACAAAACCTTCATCGATCATGGATGTGAAGTTGATGAGGAAGATTATCCTACCCATCCAAACGGGGATACAGTTTATGTCAATGATCCCGAGCATCGAGCCTCCAACTTCCGTTATATTGCTTGGACTCACACCATGCGTTCCAAAACAACGAAGAAAAAAGATTGGATTACTAGACGCTACTACTGTCTGGGGGTTATGAAGTGCTCCGAAACTGACTGTCCCTTCGCTGGTTCACCACCAACTGGGCCTAAAAAGCTTGCCAAAGTGACAGATGGGTGCGGATGAATCCAAATCTACCTCTCAAACTTTTGAAACCTCTCACATCATTTGGGTAAATTGGACGTATACCGCTGTCTTTCAATTTCTTTTTTCACAGACTTAAAAGTTGTCCAATTTCGGCATGTGAAGGCTATCAAAGGAACATCACATGTGACGCCAAATGTCGAATTGACACGGAATTAGATGAAGATGGAGTCGAACAGTGGGGATTACTTTGCCATCAAGGAATCCACCAACACGAGTGGGCCGAGGTGAAGAAGGCTGATCCTTTGTCAAAGGATAAGCTGAAGGATCGGGTCATCAACGACACCAAGACCGGCCCTCTCGGTTTGAAGGTATGTGGTTGATTACACCCATACCTTCATTTGTACCCAGCTCATCTATCTGTAACCCTTTAATCATTCAAAGGTAGGACGCGCGCATGTTGGTACAGAACCCATCAGCTCAGTCATTGATCTGCATCCGTCTTTTGGAAATGTCGATCGCCTAGGCTACTTGCGACGTATCTTTCTAGTTGAAGCAGGCATCATGACGAACACGCGACACCCAGAAGGGGGTGACAAGTGGATGACTACAATGTCGGATTGGTCAAGGTAATTAAGGATAAATTTCTTTCTTTAAGTTTCAGCAATGTTAACAGGCTGTGATTTTCACGTAGGAAAGGACTCAAAGTAGTATCTTCATCTATGGCTGAGGACGCCCACATCTCATTCCAGACGAAATGGATGCAAGATGTATTAATCGAACCAGATGAGAAGTCTGACACCTATATCGGCGGCCTCCTATCCGATGTTACGTATCGGTTTTTTAAAATAGGCTACCTAATGACTACTTCCAAATACTGTGAAACCCTCAAAAGATGGGTACCTGTACTGTTCTCCTGGCTCGTGGGGCTTCAAAGCGAATTTTACAAAATCCACTTCAAAGTATTACTTCAGCAGATTCAGAAAACATCAATGTCGGACAAGAACAAAGGAATGATGCTCAAACAAGTTGTAGATTTCTCGCTAGCTCAAAAGGTTTGATTTCAGGACGCGTACATGGAGGTGTTCAATTGTCATGATCCAAATGTGGCTTTATCTAAGTTGCACGGTTGCAAATGGCACTACATGCAAGCTGTAACTCAAATTCAGAAAAACAGGAAAATCGTGAAGGCTAAACAGGTGGTGAGTCTGTTTGATTCAACATTGAAAGTTTGATCTTATTGATTAATTGCATTTGATGTTTTTGCCAACAGGGGACGTGGGAGAAGAAATGCAAGGAATTACTTCTACCGGACGGCCCCGGGGTGGAGGACCTTGACACAAGGTTCGAGGAATTACGCCGGATGTTCCCCCTAGCAAAGAGATGGATTGAATGGTGGGGTGCAGCCGACATTCAAGCCATGCTCTTCCCTGCTAGGAAACGTATGCCTTTGGATGACCCGCCACTTCCTGGTGAAGATAGTGACCCGGAAGATGAAGGAGACGGCCCTCGACGACGATCAGAGTTACCTTCCACGACGAATGGACAAGAGTCCATGCATCGCGTATATTACACTTTGTGGTATGTGCAATTTGACTTTCTTTTTTATTCTATTATTTAGAAGTTTTACTGAAGATCAGTTACCTACAGTGAAGGTCGATGTGGAATAATTCCTGGCATCATTCAACTTATTGCCTTTGCCCAATGCATGGAAAAGGATTACCAGCAAGTGCAGAAAGGAGTCTCGATTACTTATGGTGGAAATGCGCATAATACTTGGCAAGAAGTTGTTAAGGCCATTGGAATGGCGCCACCGACGAAGCGTAGATACACTTGTAACGATGGACGCGCGCCTGACACGACTGACGAATTGATTGGCAAGAAATCAAAGAACAAGGACAAGTCTATTAAAGCGGCGAAACCGGGTCGACCTAAGGGCTCGCAAAACATCAACCGAAGCTCGCTAACTACTTACCAATCTTACACCGCTGGAACTGCGAAGGGAAGCAGAAACCGGTGTTGGCAGTCTGCCACCCTTGAGTGCCTTTACGCTCTCTTTGGTCCTCTTTGGAGCACTTCCATCACAGTCAACAGTACAAATTTAGCCAATGTACTAGCTCGCCACTTCACCGCGCGATGTAACGCTGAAATCAGTGGCGAAAACCATGGCCAAAGCACTTCAAGATGGCAACAACTCATTCACAAAGCAATTCAAGAAAAATCTATCTCGTACCCCTTTGACGCGTTCTGCTCAGCCGACGGCTTCATGGACCTATTACTTTCGGAAGTTGCAGACAACAAATCTTCGCTCAAGCCTATGTTTCAATTCAATAGGATCAAGACCACGTCTTGTCTGCGCAATCCACAGCACGGACAAGTTCAACGACAAGCGCGAGCTGTCTTCCAATTGACGCCGGCCATGTTCGACGAAGCCAACATCTCTTACTCAAACGTGTCCCAGTTGATTGACATGTGGATGACTGAAGGATTTACAAATGAAGGCGTTTTATGTGAACTATGTCACCCGCACGCGCAGAGAAAAGCACTTCCTGTATCTGATCCTTCGTTTTTGCAAAACAATCACCAAATCGTTATTGATCCACAATCGGCGCCATTACATTTATACTTCTTCTTGGATGGTGTAGGCGGAATGGGTCCTGACGAGCGCAGAAGTAATCAGGGTGACACTAATTGGCCAGCTCGTAAGGTCCTTGGTGGTGTTGAATATGTGATGGTTGCTTGTGGATACTGGGCGCATTCGCATTATTGGTGTAGGGTGGTACGGTGTATTGAAGGTATTCTTGGGGTTTGGATTTACGACGAGCGTGAGAATGCAGGAATAGCGCAGCTTGAAGGAACTGATATCACCAGCATAGCTGGTTGTTCTCCTAATACTAGCTGGTGCTTTTACTCACGGATGCCGCGTGGAGACGAAACAACTCAAATCAAATCTGCAATCATTGCACTTATGAAGGTATTCCCAAACAACCACTCGACAATCCCGTTCTCAATGCCTAGTCGTAAATTTCCTTTTGGTGGAGGACTTCCGGAAAAAACACCGGATATTTCGAAAATCAAAGTCAAGTCAGAAGTCATTGACGACTTCAATGAGGCTGATGAAGAAGACACCACCGCAGTAGTCAATCTGCAACCACAGGTGTCACTCAAGGAGGTTGTGCAGGCTGTCCCCGAAAAAGCCTCACCAATCAAAGTTGAAAAAGGTAACACATTTTACCTTGTCTTCTTTGCCGTGTTTTATTACTAACTTTGGCTTGTGCATGACAGCTAAAAAGCGGAAAGCCAAGGCTCAAGTGGATGTTGTGGAAGCCAAGGTGCTTGTTCCCGAAATCAAGGCTGCTAAAGGTGTGTGATTCTAGTCTATAATTATAGACATCTATAATTATATACATCACACTGATATTATAATTATGCAATGAGCAGGAGCCCCTAAGAAACCCAAATGGAAAGGGTGGGTGATTGTTGAGGAAGAGACTGTCAAGGAGGATCCTGTTGAGGTGGAGGTTGAGGAGGATGCGGTCCAAGAGGCTGATGTGGAGGTAGTATCAGGGGTAAACACCAGATTGAAGCGTCAACGACGCAAGTGATGGATTTTTTCTACTGGTTATTACCGCTTATATTCATTTGTTCTTAAATCAATTTAGTATCATTCAATTACCTTCATGATATCGTTCATTTTTGTTTTTTTCTAACTTTGTTGAAAAGTAGCGTAAATTTTTTGATGGGACGATGTAAAATTACGCTTCTCATGGGGGTGAATACAATTTTGCGCAGGGTCATTTTACACCAGAAGTCTCGGTGTAAATCAAGTCTGTGGTAAATTCATGTTTTGTACTTGTTCTTTGACTTTTACGCTGGGTTTTTTTACACCGGAACTTTCTGTGTAAACATCCCGGTGCAAAATTCGAAGTCTCGCTGGGTGGGCGTATTATTACACTGAAACTTTCACACCGGAATTATTTACACGGACAAGAAAATTTCAAAACGGGTACAAAATTCGAATATACCCCCCCTTTTTGTGAATTTTACACCGACCCCACTTTACACAGGGTGGGCCTGTGTAAAGTGGACGGTGTAAAATTCCACCTCCCCTAGGGATTGATTTTGGAAATGAACAATTTTGAAAACCTGTTGTGTACATATATACACATACACTGGAATTCATGCGCAGTCTCACCTCCAATTTCAGGATCACATTGTTTGCTGTGTTGAGAAGAAAAAATAACAACAAAGGCAAGTGAACAACTGAATTGACAGAAAGATGCAGACAAAGCAGGTGCTTATTCATACCCACTTTTTTCTACACAGTATATTATGGGAAGTTGGGGTAAAAGGCAATCCTAAATTTCCCCTACTAAAAATCTCAAGGAACCACACCAAAAGTTCAGGGTAAGGATTAAGTCCCTTGTGCCTCGGTCATTGCTTGCTACGTATAAAACCCGGCACAATGGGACTTAGCCAAGCTTGCTACTCCCTGCTTAAGACCGTCAGCCCTGAGTACTAAAGCAGTGTACCAATGGGCAACATATGTATATAATAATAAAAACCTTAAAAATAGCAATTACAACTCAAGGCTCAGTTTCAAGAGTCAAGTTACATAGGATTTGGCATAGGTAACATGTGAAAAGCGTACACCAAAGAGTGTGTACGTACACAACTTTGATGTGAACCAAGGCTACATATATTTCACAGCCTTAACATTGTACATAACAAGTGAAATATACTTATAACCCAATAGCAAGCGTGTTACTGTAATTAACCTAACCTTAGAACCACAATTTGTGTGCACTTGTAATGCAAAGATTACCACGGTTCAGACCATATAAGCCCTGAAGATCCCACCAGTTTTCAATTGTCACTCTATCATTTAACAACTTTACAAATGGCTCATTTCATCTTCCTGGAAACTTTTAGACTTTGTCTAACATCTACAAACTTTAAAAGCGTGATTCTACAGACCTTAAATATTCAACCTTGTGTCTTGTTGACTGTATTGTGTGCGCATCCAACCTTGTTCTTCTCTGATTAGACTCAATAATCAGATTTCCTGACTAGACACTATAATCAGTGTTTTAGTAATATTTATTGGTGGAATTACTTGCAGGAAGTAGTCCTTGAGTATTGCTTATATCAGATTTGGGATTCATTAGATATGGGAAACTCTAAACCTACAGGGAAATCTCTATTGGTCAGAGTGTAAAGTTTCCGGTGTTATAATAGACCTTAAAACCACCTTCTTTGACCTTTCTTTGAATAAGAAGAGGATCAATTGAGGATTGAGAACTGCACGTCAGTTGCTGCTATTTTCAATTCTTGTGAAGGCAATAATTAATCCAAAATCCCTGGGCAGACCCTTTTTTTTCAAGGTCAACTAACTGGAGTCTTTACTTGTTTACACCAAGTAAAGCTCCTGTGCCCACGTCTTTACCCGCTCAAACTCGTGGATAGTAATCCCCACGAGTCTAGTAGAAGTTTGTATAAACTTCTAATCTCTATTATTGAATCTACTAGCCCAACAGATGCTAGTAGGCTCACAAAGACAATCTGTAGGGGGAATAGCTGAACTTAATGTCCTGTGTAGGTGATGAAGGGCTCAGGGTGAGGATCACATGTGGCCTAAGCCCTTGCCCTTGCCATGTGCCCCTCCAGGGCGCCTCAAGGCTTTGTGGCAAAGGGCACGAGCGTGATCTGTATCTCTAATCTCAAGGTTTTGTCATTTGTGTTGTCTTAGTCCCATAATGTTTCTTGCTTGGTATGAGTCACTGTGTTTTTTGTATTGTTTCTTTTGTTCCTGATCAAGACTCTTTTGTAGGGTTGGAGGGACGCTTTTTGAAAAATCAAAACATGTGTATTCTATCTTGAAGGTTCCTAGCTTCAATCTTTTAGATTTGTGAGATGGACCTTGAGGTGTATGAGTAAGAGAACCCACTAAGGTGGGAGTGTTTAATCATAAATTTTGCATTCCTGAGTGCAAAGTTTGATCATGCATGTTTTACCAAAGTTGGTAACCACATGAAATACACTATGGGATGATTTACCATCTGCTTTCCCTAGTTCCTACAATAAATCAAGTTGTAGGCTTGCGTAGATCTGAGCACATGGGGCACAGGATTTGATGTGGTTGTACGGACCGCAGGTCTAAAACAGGTCCCTAGTGGACCTGTCTGTCTTTGAGTGTTAAACTGACACTAAATCATGTTATTAACACAACCATAGTGGATGCTCTAACTGTGAAGACATAAAAGTTTCAGTCTATACTGCTCTCTTTTTAGGTTGGGGTGGGGTTCTCCCCTGCCCTGCCCCTGCTCTTGTCCACTGCATTTCTGGTCCTGATGGAACTCACAGATGATATTTTTCTCACAATTGTCTGGGGTTTCTGTCAATCTGATTTTAAGTTGAGCTACACCAAGCTCTTGTAACACTATCTCTCGACAGCATTACATATTAGATCACATTACAAGCATATTAAATATTCTTATATAAAAACTTGTTTCTCTTACTTATTCAAATCATAGACACACATGCTGCCGGATCCTTAGGGAATCTAAACTAATGTTTTGATTATCATCCTTTTGGAGCTAGAAATTATGTTCCATGGGCTTTCTAGGCTGTATGTACATGTCATTAGATTCTATAAGTGTTGGTTGTATATTACAAGTTGGTCTTTGAGTACATACATATGTCCTCAGGGCTGAAAATATTTCAAAGGTAAAGTGATCAATCTTCTTGTTTTGTCCAGAAATGACAAAGACTAAAAAGCACAGCATCAGTACAACAAAAAAAGGGGGAAGAATGAATATAAGATGTCTGGAAGTTGAAACACGTTTTGACAGACAGGAATAGTGGTAGGCAGACGTAAAGTTTAGTTAACATCTGGAAGGGAGATATATAAATATAGAAAGGTGTACCTCAAGAAATACAGTCTGATGAAATGTGAAGCATGACTATAGAAAATTGGGGTAATTCACCATGACCTTGTGACAATCTCTTGACAACAAGCGCACATGGACTGCCTTTGAGGCACAAAGGCAACTTGTGTGAGCTTGGCGAGGGGCAGATACCACATGGACATGGTGATTCTTAGTATCCAAATTTGTATTGTGTACCTGGACTTTTGTGCTCTATTGAATTTTAATTCTTATTGTTGGTTCATCAAAACTCATTATCAACAAAAACATTATCCTGTACCTTTTCTCTCAAATTCTAAAGTAAGCAATAATAAATTTGGTTAAACAATTTTTTTATCTTGCAGCATGATGTCATCAGCAATAGCAGTTCCAATTTCAATGTCATCAATGAGACTCACTTCAATTATGACAATTTAGGAGGGAGTAACAAGCACAATATGCGCTGGATCCAACATTTGGCCATTGTGTTGTGTTCTGTGCAAGACAAAAATGTTTTTTTGAACTCAAACCCCCACAACACAACAAGCAAACACAGCTCAATTTGTGTTTCCTGCAACACAAAACATCATTGCTATTGATATTTCTGTGGAGCTCAATATGGTACTTTAACATATATATTCAGAGTCACACAACCTGGTCCTTGCTGAAGCGGTACAACCTGTTGCAGGTGGTGTGTTGCCAGCAATGCACCACTCTTAGATCTTTCTACCTCAGAGTCAGCCCCCTCATATTTTGGAAATGATAAACCCATAACTTCCCTTTCCATCTGTTCTCAACATAGCTCAACATGTGGGACAAGGCAACAGTAGGGATGCTTTTTCCCCTTAACCACCTCAACATACAAGCAGAACTTCTTGTCAAAGAAGCAGTACCCCTCCATTTCCTCCTGCTTTGAACAATAATTTTCACAGAAGCTTAACCCCTCTTTCACCCCTCTTTCACTGAGCCCTAGTGACTCTTCTAACAGTTTGCCATATGAAGCTCATTCTGGAGGATCACATGTAAAATCTAGGATGTCTTTATCTACAATTAAAAACTTTCAGCTCTTGCGGTGCTGTCTATTCCCATTGACAGGACTATGAATTGGAAGGCTATCCATGTTGCTGATCATGGTAGCTTTCAAAGGTCATATATTCCTGCTCAATCAAGCAAAGTTCCTGGATTTGTGTCAGCCCTGAGTACACATATGTCAGCTAAAGTCTAATAAGTAGCACTTTTAAGGACTTTTAAGCTAAATGGTATGTAAAATGCTAAGAATTGGATTGGCGGGCTTTGTTACTTTAAAGTTGATGTCACTTTTAAAGAGATAAATTCTAGCCCTTGTCTGTTAGTTTGTCTTGAGCTTTGAGTAAACTAATAGAACTTTGATCACTCACTGGTTGAACTACCAATGGTCTTCTACGAATGGGTACCGAGTACTCCTATTCCAGGGTGGGTCGTAAGTTCTGCTTTAGCCTAATACGTGCAAGACTAGCTTTTGCGTAGTTAGAAAAAAGGTCTAAGAGCTATTTTAGACAAGTTGAAAGTTGGTTAAGAGTTTGACCGGATAGTTTCTAGGAACAATGGCTTTAATGGTGATCTTATAGTTTATTATAACTAGTTTTATCAAACGAGTAGGAACAAATGGAAAATAGACGATATCGATACGATGAAGTAAAGGAGTCTCTATTTAAGATTGTAGTCTGCTAGGTTTGGTAAAAGGGAGTTATAGAATAGTATAAGTTTCTAAAGGTAATTGTTGGTGTGAAGTATGCGATCATCTTTTATTTCTGCTGGATCGCTTAGCTTCTTTTATACTCGATATTTGTGATTCCTTGGCAATTTCCATAGTCGAGTTATTTCAACATCGGTTGTTTCGTAATTACCAGTCAGGGTCAGAATGTGATCCTGACTGGGTCTTGGTTGCTTAATAATTTTATTGGGCTAGGGTTCGAATAAGTCCCTGGCTGGTTTGGTTTTAAGTGGGATTGAGTTCCTTGTTTTGATTATACTCTTTTAATCGAAGGGTCTTTTCTTACCGTGGTTTATGATATCATTCATAGTCCACGGGATTTCCTTTTTAAATGTTTGCAGATATTTTAATTACACTCTTGAAACTTGAGTGTGAGATGTGAAGTTTTTATGTTTTTAGTTTATATTAGTCTTCCTAAGGAGTACTTGTGGTTACTCTCTAGGCTGACATTCACCGGGGTTGGAAAAAAGACAAACCTCAGAGCTTTTTCTTTTCTACCCTGTATTTTCGTAATAGCGTTGTCGCGTTAGGAATGCTTTTTTCTTGTAGCCATTCATCTGAGTCGGAGCTCTTGTTTTTATATCTTACAAGGTAAAGTCTTGTGTCTTTTCCTTGTATTTTGACCATTTTTTTATCTAATACCTTCATTATAATTCTTTCTGAGTCTTCTTCGAAAGGAACTATTTGTTCTGTTATTTCGGTTCTTCCTGGAAATTGTTGAGTCATTGATTCTTTATAGTGTTTAAGCAGCGAGACTGGGAAGGTAGGGTGTTTCCTGGATAGCTCTCCTGTGAGAATGACTTCTGCTGCATTAGGTCCGTGTAGTCTAGCTATTATATAAGGTCCTACAAATGAATCTTTAAGTTTCTTGGGTCCCTGTATATTATTAAAATTTCCTGTTGAGATCAGTACTTTGTCACCGATCTTGAATGATACTTCTTTGTGACTTTTGTCCCATCTATCTTTATTATATTGAACGGATTCTTCAATGCAATTTTTCGCATGTTTTCTTGCTTTTTCAAGCATGGGATGAAAGTTCAGAGCTGTAGGGTGGACTTGAACTTCCTTATTTTGGAGTAGGTCTTTGGGAGTCCTGGGGTTATACCCTCTTTCTAACTCAAAGGGTGTTTTACCAGTTGTGCTATGAGTGCGAGTGTTGTAAGCTAGTTCAAAAGCTGGCAGTAGCGACTTCAAGTCGTGTAGGTAGCCTTCTTTATCTCGGAAGGATAGGCCATAAGCGCAATCTTGTCTAATCATATCTTCTAGTGTCTGGATCATCCTTTCTGCTAGGCCATCCATTTGTGGGTAGTATGCTGTAGACAGGGCTAGGGTTGTTCCCATTAACTTTGTCAGACCTTTCCAGAACTCTGACGTGAACTTGGGGTCTCTGTTGCTAATTATAATTCTAGGTAAGCCGCAATCTACGATGATATATTAAAAAAATATCATGGCTGTGCCCATTGTGTCGATTTCTTTATGGCAAGGTAAAAATCTTGCTCTTTTTGAAAACCTGTCTACTACTACGAGTACACTGTTTGCGCTGTCGTTTCCTGCCGGGGGTAGTCCCGTAACAAAGTCCATGTTTATGACTTCCCATGGAAATGTGGGCTCTTTGATCCGCTGTAGCAGGCCTGATCTTTTACCTGTTTGTTTATTAGCCTTTTGGCATCTATCACAGGATGATACATATATTGCAGTGTCTTGTCTCCATGTAGGCCACCAAGCTGTTGTAGCTACTTTAGGCATCGTGCGATCTTCTCCTAAATCTCCTGAGAGAAAGTCATCGTGACATACTGATAATATCTGGCTGATGTGTTGTTTATCGCAGATGACCACTACCTCAGAGTGTTTTTCTCGGTGGTAGATAAGTCCTGATATAAGTGAGAATCTGCCATCTTGTAATGGTTTCTTCCATTCGCTTGCTAGGGAACTTTCAAGGGCTGTTTTGTTCTCTTCGCTGGATAAAATTTTAAGAAGTTTGATCGTGTTTTCGTTTGACTCGTAACTTTCTGCTATTGTGTCAAAAAACTCGTCCGAGAGTTCACATAGGCTGATTCCCATGACAGGTATGTCTCTGTCGACATCTTTGTCTTCCCAGGCTGGGTTGTCTCTGTTGTTTGGCAGTGCCATCCGGCTAAGGGCATCTGCGTTACTGTGTAAGTTCCCTGGTCTGTGAGTGATAGTCATATATGACTTGTACTCTTGTATGGCCATTTGCCATCTTAACATATGTCTAGTAGGCGTTTTAGTATTCATCAAGGACTTTATTGCTTGACAGTCCGTTATTACTTCAAAATAGATGCCGTCTAAATAGTAATCATTCAAGTTAAACGCGAACAAGGAGTTTGAACAAAATTCACAAATTGTCTGAAACCTCTATTTCTTTGCTGAGCAAATCCCAGTTTTGACCAGCCGAAGTTACGGCCAAGCGAGCTTCACTCGATCTCTCAAATATAATCGTAAGTTCCTCGGTAACACATTAATCATTTCATTTCATCATATCATTCATCATTCATATTCAAGGAGAACCATCAATTCGAACAAAACTCAACAAAACCTCCACTTTTTGGCTGAAGCAATTTGAGTTTTGACCAACCGAAGTTTCGCCCTCGGGAAGATAACTTTCCAACCTCATATCACCATCCATTTTCTGTGACGTAATTGCTTTTTACGGTCTGCAACTGCCCGGTGATTCAAGCTCAACCACAATCTCATCAAATCAGCAATTAGTAATCCATCTACCCATCATATTCAACCCTAGGAATGATGGCTAAATCAGCTCCAATGAGGTCTTTTGATAATCCTTTGCTGTCCCTGGACTAGGAGTAACCACAACCTGTGCCGGGGATATTGATATGAGAAATCCGTTTTAAACATTCCATTCATTGCATTTTTGTTTTTCATTGACTCAAAATAGATTGTGATTGGATGACACCATACCTGCATCTACCCCACTTGCTTTACCACAGGAACCACATCAAATAAAGCTAATTGAGTGATACGAGGGATTTGCTGAAGAGAATCCAATCGGTTGATATATTGCACTCTTATCTTCATAATTCAGGTTAGTGGATTTCTTTGAATATGAACTCCTTAAATGAAATCATATCCTGATTATAGATCGGGATGTCTCCCCAGTTTTAGCAACCATCATCCCAAATTTGAGTGTTATCGAAGATCATATCTCACTCACCTCAACTCAATTTCTGAAATAGAACAGGACACCTTCGAGCCCTCTACCTGATAGCACTCACAGTTGTTCACCCTATCCTAACACGGTCTCTTCTCAAACATACAAAGAGCTCATGAAAATTTGAAGGTCGAGCTGAGTGCCCTAAAAGGAATCCAGGGTATGTGTTTATATTCCATCGTGTATTGTCAAAGTTGACATGTTCCTCGTGGAACAAATTGAGAACGGCGATGCCAACAATTCTGATCAAACTTCGACCTTCAAGATTATTCAACTGAAAAGCAGTATAATCACTTGAAAGAGGTATTAGCTTGGTCAGTTCATAGATTCATTACTCGATAACCGCTTGGTTTGTTGTCGATTATAGCCAACTGATTCGGCAATCAACATGGGATAGGATGTGCGATCTGTCTCATGAAGCTGACTTGGCGAGTCGTATGAAGATCTCCGATCTGGCGCAAGAACTCGATCTGTCTGTTGTCACATAGTTTTCTGTTCTGAGGCCCTGACACATCAATTTGACAATCAGCAAATCGACGATATGAAGATAACAACAAAGACTCAGAAGCTCTGAAAGAGCTAGCAGAAAACTTGGAAGAGAATCATGTCAAATCAGAAAACCAAATACAGGAATCAATTGGTATATTCTTTCTTTGCAATCGGTCATGTCGATCTTCTCGATCTTCTAACACTACCTCATCTTGAATCTGGCTAGATTTCAAGGCTTTACAGCTGCGTGAGCAAAGGAAACCAAACGACTCATTCGAAGAATTCGTACCCGATTACGAAAATACGATTCTGCAATTCCGTGAAGTGGTGCTGAGTTTACAGACGTCAGTATTGATTGCTGTAGTGATTGAAACCCCCTTTGGCTTATTTTGACAGTATTGTGCTGCTACTCAGAGATTTGAAATCTACGCGCGAGCATCAGCAATTTGAACCTGATGAATTGCAAACACTGGCCAGTTAAACGCAAGCAATGTTAAACCTGAATATGAAATTAGAGGACTCGAGTATCAAAGGACAAGTGAAGGCCATTGATTGGCCATTGATTTGGAACTTCGAAAGCTGGAATCTACACAGGCAGTGCTACAATGTAACATCATGAAGGCATATTTTTCAAAACCCTTTGTAAATCGATCACTAAAACGCATGTATGATTCATTTGCAATGTTCAAGCTCTTTGATCAATTGAACTGATTATTCTAATGAATTCTCTTTGGATTAGGAAGGTAACTAAAAGACTGATATACATTTTGAACCCTCAGTTGAAATGCAGTTAATTGCTCACCTCTCATTCCAATTTGAAAATGGCTTCTCATCCTCAAACATTCATGGTCAACTAAACCTTTCCAACCCTATCCATACCCAAACAGACATTTTTCTAATACCAGGATCCCAAGAGCATCTCTATTAACAACAATCATTGGATAATTTCGAAGTATCATACTAGAATTGATCATCACCGGAAGAATTGATTTATCAAAATCATTATTAGAAGCACAGGCTAGAACAGGTTTGACAGTTTACCGTGCAATTTTCATTTTAGCACATTGATTTCAATTGTTATTAGCACATGATGCTTTATGAGCACAAGCACTGCATCTACAACTTATTGGTTTTTGTTGGTTTGGTTTAGTGTTTTTGCTTTATACTGTTGTTCAGGTTGGAGATCTTTTTTTATTATTCCTTTTTTATTAGATTGAAAAGAAGGCAAATTTGAAAATGAATTGTTGAATTTATTTATAAGCTGCTTGATGAAATGGTTGTTATTATGATCAAGATATTGAGACCAAGTTACATGACAAAGACAAAGCAAGTGGTATCAAAATACTGGCTTGGATTCCAGTTCAAGTTAAGGGAGAACCATAAACTTGATTGAAAGTTGATAGAACCTCCATATTCAACTGAAGAAACATGGATTTTAAGCCTTTTAGACCAGCCAGCTTTTTGGTCTTGGGATAATTACTTTCTAATTTCTGATTGTCTTTAATCAGTTACCCTGATACCAATGTGCTAGCAATTTATGCAACCTTTTTCTTAAGCAAACGGGCCACTCTGATTTAATTCAGCAAAAAATCAGCCAAAAAAGACACCAATGAATATGTTATTACAGGTCAACTCAAATAGGTGACCTGATTGCTTGCAACCCATAGCTTTATTTTTTGTCTGAAAAATCAGCTGATGTGAAGAATCAATATTCAGGCCCACAATATCTATAGAGTTGAAGTTCATCTGCAGTTTTTCCACAGTTCAGTAACAAAAATGTGGTTTACCAATTTTCATTGTGTATTGTTTAAGCATGCTGCACACATCACCCACTTTTTCTATCAAAAGTGTTGATTGTTACTCCTGATTTTTGTTGTTCCACTGGAATCATCTGCATAGCCTAAGCAACCACACCTGTATTTTATCTGTAAACCTTGGTGTTGTTGTGCTGTCATAGAAACCCATTTTTGTATGTACAGTCCCCTCCAAGTGGTTTACGTAATCATTCAAGTTCTGCAGCGGCGGGGCTGGGGCCTGTCGCCAACCCAATGATTACAAATCCTAGGCATGGGGACATGTACATTACTTCACAAATACTCCCATAATGATAAAATAAGTAAAGCACACAATGTATGCACACCCGTTACAACCAAGCACATAAGTAGTGTTTTCATTGTGGAACTACTAATACAGTATTCAAAAGCCAAGACAAAATGATACTTGATGTGCTCTGATTTGGAAACGTTAGAGCATTTGCACTCGTTTGGGATTGTTAACTTGGTCCTGTGCGGTAACAACCTGTACATTAAGTAAAGAATTACTTAATGTGATCAGATTTCACACTTGTGCCAAAACTACCTGCACGGTAGTTAACTAGCTCAAGAGGTAATTTGAGTTTCCACACTGATGCAGAGTTTACAGACTCAAAATATACCAAACAACAAAATCAATCAACTTCAATCAATCAGTGCTTTCCAAGCAATCCCTGCCAGGGAAGAAGAGCTTTGGGACAGGGAAGTCCATTTGAGAGTAACTTGAGATCTCATCACCGCTGGATGGTTGGCACAGAGAGGTTTGTAGACTCACGTGGTGGGCGCATGTTTTGAATTTGGGGCAGGCCTGGGCGCATATTTTGATATTTCCAGAGGCAGGCCTATGGTGGGGGCGCTTAGGCGTGCCTCTAAGGTGTTAAAATCTCCCCAAAAATCAAAGTAGGTGGGAAAAGTGCTCAAACAACATCAGACATAGCATACATAATTATTTCATAACGGTACTCATGTACATCTCATCAACAGTCATGAAAGTTAACAATCAAAAAGCTCATCCTCATCCCAATCATTGTTCTCAGACCCCTATCTAACACAATAGTAGCTGATAGTGGCTTGGAGATTAGGGATGTGTTGTAAGTAGAACAATTTGAGGTGGGAATTAAAAATATTGTTGATGTTAAACAAAAATTCCCACCCATAATCAAACAGTAACTGGACGGAATAGACCTAAACCAGCCTAAACCTAACAAGGGCACGCCAACCCCAAAATCAAGCCCAAAAGGCCTGCCCAGGGCCTGCCTCAAAGGCATGCCCCTGAGGCAGGCTAATTGCGCCACACCCACCACGTGATTGTAGGCAAACAAATAAAAATTCATTTCATCATTGATTAAAAGTGATCATGTTGAAGACCATTGAGAATTTGAAAAGAAATGCAGATGATGAAGATCCTTTCGCATAGTTCCCCTCTACAGTTGGATGTTATATTTATTTTTCAAATCCTTTTGAATTCAATCCAAACAACAAGAAACATCCAAAACCTTCTAAAATCAAAACAAACAATAAGAAATTGATCCACTTGGATGTAAAAACTTTGTAAAACCAATCCACAGGATAAGAATTTGATATTGATTGATCTAAAATCTCATTTAACATATATATTCTCACATGTAAAGTAGGACAATCTTGATCAATGTGGGATAAAGAGATACAGTAAGAAACCAGACATACCCATTAATTTGATGAATCAGAAGGCAGTTGGGTCTCCATTGATTCTTAATTCAGGTGTTTTGATTCAAGAGGAATTGAGAGGAGTTGAGTCAGATTTGAGTCAAGTTGGCAAGTTGGCAAGTTGGTGTGCTTGAGAAGTGAAGACGGGGCTGGCAATTTGGCTACTGCATGCGTTAACCAATTGGTTAATTTACCGATTCACTAACGCAAATCAATCAAAAATTAACTACTGAAGCGCTAATTTCTCACCAGTGTGGGAAAGGCCCCACATTTGCGGTAAATTGAACCTTACCACACCCTATTTAATGCACGAGTGCAGATGCTCTTAGGGGGTTAGGGCCTAGGGGACAGGGCTTAGGCTTAGGGCAAGAATATCTTCACCCCAGTCCAAGGGCATTCATAATTAACTCTGTTCAAGATGACCATGATTCCTCCCAGTCCTTGATCACGCCACAAATAGAACTCATGAGAAGCATGGCCTCCATACCCTTCTCCATTTGTCCATTTGCTATTGCTTGAAGACCAATATACTGTCATCAAGTGATGCACAACATGTACATTACACCATTTCTTTGTCAAATCCAAAGGCTTCAATTGGAAATCTCCAAGCACCTTAAAGGCTTCATCACAAGTTGCCCAAGGAGCAGTACTTATTAATGTGCTGTATTGAAAGAGATTTGTAGTTCTCCACTGGGCAATGCAAAGAACCTCAAAAACTTAGTTCTCAAATCTTGGAGCAGGCAAAGTATTCAGAATCTAGCATGATTGGAGTTATTGAATTATTTTGGTAACTATTCTAACTTCAGATCTGAATTGGATAAGTACTGTTAATTGTGGAAATTTTGAATCTAATATCCATAATAATGAGTTACAAGCAGTGTCTACACTTCATGTTAACAGTAGTCTGAGACATTACAGTATCTTATTAAGCTCCTGTGCCCTACATCTTGGTAATGGATTCAAATTTTAGAGTGATCACAATAGCTACTTAGGTTGGAAGAATGATCTATTCTGGCTGGAATTGTGTTGCTCATAATTTATAAATTAATATGAGTTAGACTATGAAATAGATTCTACTGCATTGTAGCGCAACCAATTTCCCCTGAAGAAGCTTTCCCCCTTGAGTGCTATTGAAACCAGGGAGCCAGCATAGCCTTCATCAGCATTCTACATGAATTGTCCTAAGATAATCATTTGTTGTAAGTGCAGCGCCCGCCGCCCAATTTGGCTAGTGTAATTTATACAGTGCCCATACTAGAGCTAAACATTCTAGTTGTGGAGCTCCGTATCTTTTTTCGCTCTCTTTTAGTTGTCTCGATATGAAACATACCGGGCCGTTCACTAGTTTGTCATTAACAACTTGTTTTTGGTGTAGTGGTGCGCCAAGTCCTAAAAAGCTGGCGTCAACATAGAGTATAAATGGTTTTTCAAAATTAGGTTGCAGTAGGCATGGCGTGCTGGTAAGTAATTTTTTGACGTTTTCCCATGCTGCTGCTCTTTCGGAGGTTATCAAGAATTCTACTCCCTTTTTTAGAAGGTGGTACAGAGGAGCAGTTATCATAACATTTAATCCTGGAGACGGTTTGCTAACAAAACTGGACAAAATTCACCATTAGTGTGATTTTCCCGTTTTGTCTTGGGCAGAAACCTACTTTTGTGAATCCATTTGCATTCACCATCATTTTCAAATTCATCATTTATTGCTACTCCGTGCCTCAAAACCATTCGGAAACAAAATCAATGCTGTGATCCCTAATCATTGTTCCACATCACCTGAATGTAGCATATCAATATTCATCTCTCATGATCACGCAACCCATCCTATACCAAAATACCTGGACTGATCGAGATTCTTATCCTTCACTCTTGACCTTCTCAACCTGAACTTACCCATGAACCAACTCAAATTTACTCAACAGTGTCTCAATTCTTAGATATGCATACTATTGTTTTCTTCACTGCTACTGTAGTACTGGTGTTGCAAGAGGTGTTAGTGGTCATACTGGTGGTAAGTCTCATCCCTCAAAATTCCAAAACTCTTTTTGATCATCTTTGACTATATCGGTTGCGGTTTTCCTTCATGAAGTCTTTTTGTCTTTTCTCTCTTTCTTTTTGATTCTAAAATCCCAATTGGTTTTTCATCCAGCTATCTTTCATAAACTACGTTCCTAAATAACATCCCTATCCTTTAATAAACACAATTCAAATTTCAATTCCACTCTAAACTTCTTAATGATGGCAAGAGGACAGAAGAGATCTAACAACGCTACATCTTCAAATTCTAATACTTCGGAAACTGTAGCTAATATGATAACCAAGGATCCAGTCAACACTAAAGATCAAGTAGATTCACAGACAGATCCAGCACTAGCTAAAGATGTTGAGAAAGAAGGCGACAGATGTCCTGCTAACGCTAAAGACTCTGTTGGAGGAAGTGAGGAGGAGACCAATCCACTCAAAACTAAAGATTCCGGTCTATTTCACTCGATTAAATTCAGAAGTTATAGTTTTTGACTTTATTCATTGGTTTTGTTCTAGCTTTATTCATCGAATCTTTGTTTTGACTTTATTCATTGAAAATCTGAAATTTGAAACAAGCAATCCAGCTAAAGCTAAAGATTCAGGTAAGCATTATGATTTCCTATTCATCGTTTTGTTTTAACCCTTTTTAATTTACTTTATTTCTTTTCATTCAATATGATAGGAGTTATGGCAAAGGACAAAGGGGACCATACAGTGGAACCGAACTCTAATTAGCAATCAAGTTCAACAAGCAATCCGGTAACAAAAGATCATCTCGAGATTTTAGGCAGCAAAGAGCCAAAGAAGAACCATTGTAAGATAGTTTTCAACTTCGTAATACGCTAATAGATCAAATATGGTTTAACTTACAAATATACGATTGATAAAATTAGATAAAGTTAACGCAGAAGATGAAAGGCAACAATTCATCTTAGATAAACAAATGACTTTGAAGAAAGCTATGAAAGCGGCGACTGAAGGAAATGCAGAAGAAGCTTCATTCTTATTTCGATTACACAAACGAATGATAGTACCAGTACCAGTATACAAAGAGACGACCAAGAAGATAATGAAGAAAGTTATTGAAATCATAGACAATGATGATCAAGTCAAGAAAGTCATTTCCACAGAAGTGAGAGATGATGATGATGATGAACAACCTTTTATAGGACCCTGGAATACCCCTATGGAGGTGGGTGACGGGAAAGGTGTTTTTTGGGGGGCTAAATTTGCCTATGTGCGTGACATAAAAGTGGCTTTTTAGCCAATTTCTGCCAAACTGTGCGTGACGTGAAAGTGGACTTTTGAGGTGTGAAATGTTGATGTAGGTGACGTGAAAGGTGAGTTTTTGGACTTTCCAAGTTCCAAAGACCTCCGTAGAGTTCCGCAGGAACTTCAAAGTTAAACCTTCCAGAGATCCACAAGCTTCGCACACCGCCTCAAACACCCAACACCCTCCAAACCTCCACATATCACCACGTACTGCATATTCTGCATATTCAGCATACACATATATAAATACAGTCACCGCTCGCTATAAGCATCACTAAAATGCACCAAATTTGATGCTTACAAAGCGCGATGCATCATTTCGAAAGGAGTGTACTGCATATTTTCATTTTTGTTTCACCAAAATTTGATTCCTATAGCAAAATATGCTTACTCAATGTGTGCTTATATCGAGCGGCAACTGTAAAACAATACAAAGTGATCCAAGCCGATCAAACTCAATCAAGTACACTCAAGGTTTCAACAAACACGTGAAAAAAGTGTGAAAATAGTGAAAATGTTATCAACTGAATCTGTCCTCCGAAAGATTCTCAATCTGTGTGAAAACTGCCCCAGACTTCGAGAAGGAACTCGTCACGATCTAATCTTCAAACAGTTCTCAAACGCTCCGATTGCTGACAAAGACGAAGGTATGTGGGTTGCAGTAAATGCAACTCTCGATGCTGCCTTTGCTAAGGATTGTATCGGAGAAAACATCTTGAAAGGGAACTTCGGCCTTCCAATGGTGGTCAATTGGGTCCGAAAAGCTGAAGAGCATCCCACTTGGGACCTCAATTCCGAGATGCTTATCAACATCAAGCTGGAGAATATTGTAGCTGCGCTCAAAGGTGAAGATTTTTTTTGATTCTTTCCTTTATCTTTTTCCAAGTCTTTCCTTTATCTTTTTTCCAATCTTTCACTTCTCGTTTTCCAATTCTTTCTTTTCTCGGTTTTCATTCGTTTTCATTCTTTTTTTATGCTTCCTTTTCTTGGATTGCAATCTTTTTTTTATCTTTTTCCAATGAGCACTTGCCCCTTTCTCAATCATTTCTTTTTCGAATGATTTCTTTTATTTTTTTTTCAATTCTTTTTTTTAATGTGCTCAGCCCAGTGAGGCTGATATGAGTTTAATTCTCAAGCTTTGGGGGCTGAAGACCCAGATGACTGATCTGATCCGAACGTCACCAATAAACGCCCATTAGAATCTAACCCGAGAACGCCAAACAATTCTACTGACTCTAGTCCTCCAGTCAAGCAAGCTCGAACGGCGTTTCACGTTTCCAACATCATCGTAATATCCTCTGACGATGAAACTAACTTCGAAGCTGCCGAAACACGAACTTCAAAGGATCAAAAGCATCATATCAAGCACATGAACGTTATCGAATTATGTCCATTATCCAGACCAGGCGATGAGTGTAAGCGATGCAAGGTTGAGATGCGCACTGGCGGCAAAGATTTCTCATGCCATTGTGGTGCCAAAACAATTTGGCTCAGCCACGGTCGTGTGAGAATTGCTCAAGCTCACTGGGCCACTGGTAAGTTGATGTTCTATGTACATCGTGATCTTGACTTGATACTAACATTCTATTTTCACAGAAACTTGCAAAGACAAGACGGAAAACCTTAAGAACAACACTCAGTTGACTACTTTTTTCAAACGTTCCACCTCAATTCCTAATTCGATCACGGTGGCTTGTCCAGGACTCAACGACGAAACTTGGGAACGAAGAAAAGCAACCCACTCAATTGCCGAATTCATCTCAAAGACCTTCACCATCTATCGTGGAAATCACCGACATGATATCTGCCGAGAGCTTTTTGGAAAGCACGCTCGAGAAAATCAGTTGACGAAAGCTCAAAAGTCTCAATTAATTGCAACATTAGACGCTAGATCAACTTGGCAAGTCAAGAGGCACGGAGAGCGGAGTGCCATATATTCGAGTGACTGCAAAAGGACCTTAATTTGCAAGAAAAACAACGAGAACTTGGTGTGTAGCGCTTGTCAAGATCTCAAGGCAAACCGTAGCTTGTTAAAAGCACTCAATTCCGATTATGCGAAAGATGACGATATCAAGTACTCTCAAAATGATTACTTGTCCGACAACACCCACTCCTTTTCATCCACGTTATTGAAATTATCAGATTGCCGTCTCCTCCAAACTTCAATCGAAAGTTCTTCAAATGGCGATTTCACCGAGTTCATGACGGTACTTGCTGCTTCCACTCGGAATGGACTCTTTTCAAATCGTGACGCCACACGTGGCTTGATCAAGGCAGTGGCTATTAAGGCTGAACGTGAAAATGCTGGAAAGTCCACTCGGGGCATGAGAATTGACTCATGTCTGGATGAGTTTGTGATGACTCTAGGGGCCATCAGCCCTCGGGCTCTAACCCTTTTCAACGACAACTTCGCCGGACGTGGTAATCGAAGTCTACAAATGATACGTGCTAAAGAAGGTTTTCATCTACTCGACGGTCTTCACATCGACAACTTTACTCGAATAGCTGAAGTTCTGAAGGGGCTTGGCTATTCAGGACCAATTGCAGCTGCTTCGGATCAAACTGTCTGTGTCAAGCGTCTTCGCCACCATAATGGTTTCTTGGTTGGAGCTCAAGGAGGTGATATTGCTTTCACCAATGCGTCAGAGCTTCCAGAACTTGTTAAATCCGTTGTCAAGAACAAGGAGCTCTGCTCCAAAGTAAGTCTTAGTTTTTTCGAAAATCTCAAATACTATGTAACTGTTAAATGCTTATTTATCTATCCCTATCCAGATTCGAGCGTATACGATTCAAGTTCCATTACCTAATGTGCCTACTTTCATAGTAGCATTAATTGCTAGTTGCGATAAGGAGACATCTAATGATATATTAGAAGGTTACACGAAGTTCATGGAATTATCTCGCCAATCTGGTCTCAATATTCTTTCAATTGGCGCAGACGGTGCACCAATTGAACTATCCGCTCAAGCTTCGCTAGTCAAATCAGCGGACCGCTACTTTACTTACACAAACTCGAATTACGATGTTCATATTCAGATTCCCCTGTTTGGCCATCCTCCACGACCAGTTGTCATGGTTCAGGACCCTAAACACGCTCGTAAAACCGGTGCTAATCAGCTGGCCTCTGGAGCTCGTCTCCTCACGATCGGCAACTATTACATATCAATTCAACAACTTGCAGCCATTCTCCAGTCGGGGTGCAGTCCACTCCTTCATAGAGATGTTTTCGATTGCGATAAGCAAGATGATGGGCAAGCCTTTCGCACCTTAAGTTCCTCAACGCTAGCTGTCTCACTTGCGAACAAAGAAACACTTGGTTTGTCAATCTACCTCTACGTCGTTGGAGAGATGTGTGACGCTTGGTTAAACTGGTCTATTGGACATCGCGAACGTCTTCGAGCCGCCTGGACCACCGAATTCTTCTTCAGACACTGGAAGAAGTACCTCCTCAACAGACAATCTGAACCTCACAAGCTGATGAGCTTCTCTCAAAATTGTATATCGCCTCAAAGCTTCAAGATATTTTCAACTCTTGCAACGTCCCTTCTCCAACTTGTCATTGCTCATCGAGAATTCTATCCAACGTGTCCTCTACTCCCATGGAAACATGGGAGTGAACCATGTGAGCATAGCTTCGGCTGGATGCGCGTGATATCTCCGCGATTCACTGTGCTGGATGCTCGGTTGATGATGCCTAAGATACATCTCATCGTAAAAAATATCATGTCAGGCCACATGAAGATACCGCCCTCTGAACATATGCACTCCGGCTATCAGTATGCATTTGGCGACGAACCTGACAGCGATAACCTCAAGTTACTTACCAAATTCCCTTCAGATATCGAGATATCTGAAGATCTGAAGACTGCATATGAACGAGCTAATCACCTTGTCACAATCTCTGGAATGGGTCCACTCAACAATCTGATCTGTGACACTCCAGGCGTAGAAGTGGAGGAATCATATGAAAACTTACCCGAAAACATGTCAGGTGAGTCTTTGTATGCACCTTTGTTTCTTCTTCATCAAAAACTTTGCTGAGATCTGACGTTTTACTTTTAGATGTATCTGTTTGCGCCACGCAGCACTATGATATAGATTATATATATCAAGTGGGTAGTTGTCCTGAAAAGGAAGTGCTTGAAGCAGCAGCACTCTTGACCAAGGAACAAAATACTATCGAGCTATTTCTTGACACCTTACCCGAAGATTCTGAAAGTGAATGTTTGAAAAACGCAGCTATGAGTATATCAAACCTCCTCAATCCAGCCTGTAAGCGCGTGATGTTCATACTTCAAGAAATTCCTTAGTGACACAACATGACTAATGCGTGTCTCTTTCTTTTCGTTTATACTTTGTAGCTGATCATGGCCCGAAATCAATTGGATCCGAGATTGATCTAGAAATCGGGCCTTTAGTAATTAACAATGAGCTCATTGGTTCAACTCTCATAGCCATCCGAGAACGTCATGACAGCGAGGTTCTCAAGCACAAGGGAAATGAGCGAAGCCTAATTCATCCTGATGAATTACATTTAGAGTTGAGAAACACAACTAACACTACGCCAAATTGCAAATTTACTGTGGAGTTTAGAAAATTGAGCAGACATAGAAAATTATAGAGAAGCTGGCAAGGGTCAGAAAAATATGAAAAAATCTTGGGAGGGCCCTTTGATGCATTCCGATTGTCTGGCATATTTTTTCATATTTTTAAAACCACAATGCAGATAATACTACACAAAATATAATATCTTCTGGGCAGAAAATATAAAAACCAACGAACAGTGATATTGAGCAGTCTTGGAGAGAGACAAAAATACACAAAAATATGTATATTGTTCCTATGGCTGAGACCTTGGATTTGAGTATTTTTTTGTATTTTTAGTGTGAGAATTGTTGATTGTACTAACAAAAAACCTCCAGGATTGTTAGATTGCAACCTGTAACAGACATTGGAGGGCATAATTTGAATTCAACAATCCCTTATATATTTGTCAATTCTTGGTCAAACCACTTGATTTTTTGTTCATTGGAAAGCCAAACTCTGTGACTATATCTGTCATTGAGACAAAAAACCTGCATCTAATCCCAAAGAATATCTATGTGGCTATATAGGAAATTGTTTTGAAGACAAATAGGTTTTTTTGTAGCGGAGCTACAGATTTGACGCATTGGCATAACATTCAAATGCACTTAATGGCTTCCTAATCAGCTAACTACCAAGTGTTTTGACCCAGAATTGCAAAAGATATGAGGGATATAGAATTCCAGTGGCCAAATTCCAATCCGTGTTACAGGTTGTAATCTGAGAAACTTGGAGGTTTTTTGTTAGTACAATCAACAATCTGCACACTAAAAATACAAAAAATACTCAAATCCAAGGTCTCAGCCATAGGAACAATATGCATATTTTTGTGTATTTTTGTCTCTCTCCAAGACTACTCAATATCACTGTTTGTTGGTTTTTATATTTTCTGCCCAGAAGATATTATATTTTGTGTAGTATTATATGCATTGTGGTTTTAAAAATATGAAAAAATATGCCAGACAATTGGAATGCATCAAAGGGCCCTCCCAAGATTTTTTCATATTTTTCTGACCCTTGCCAGCTTCTCTATAATTTTCTATGTCTGCTCAATTTTCTAAACTCCACGGTAAATTTTCAATTTGGCGCAGTGTAAGAGTGGAGGTTTGAATGCAAGTGCGTGCTCAAAGATCATCGCAGTATGCTTCAAAAACCTGGAGGAAGTTCCAACTGGCGAGGCACGTCGACACCGATGGAATATCAACGTCAAGATGAATCTATCTGGAATTGTCAGAAATACGGCAACATTCGGTCAAGCCCACTTGCAAGGGCTCCTTGACAGCGGCGAAATCAAGCGCTCGAACCCTATCAAGCCCGGAAGCTTCATCATTTTGATTAAGAATCATGTAAGTTTCTTTCTCGACTTTGGTTATAACAAGTCTGATGCATTTCTCATTTGTAGACTTTGTAATTGGCGAAAACACTTGTCGTTTACAAGCTGGTCAACAAAAAACACGCCTTTGTGACAAGTGCCGATGCGAGGAAGGGTTTGTCACACATAGCTGTGCAAATCCTCTTTTACAACCCGGCTTATCCAGTCATTACACCGACCCAAGGCTTGGAATCGACTGCTTTGACATATTCTCTCTTGGATGCTACTGACGTAGTACACCAGGGGGTAAACTTCCTCGGCCTCGGATTGTTCTGGAAACGTGTCCAGGAATCCTGTTGCGAGAACCAAGACAAAGTGGTTCCGGTAACGAAATGAGGAGAACCGTGTGACAATCAGTCATTTTCACCGGTTTTTGTGGGTTCAAAACGACCAAAAATCATAGTCACAGATGGTATGAAGGTTGGTCAAGACTCGGATGAGACAATACCTTGACCCAAGTGCAACCATCTGGTTGTGATGCGATGTGTTTGACCTCGTCATTCTTTGCTCGGCTGAGCTGTCAATCGATGGGTCCAGCACTCTTGAATGCAGCCTGCTTTTCGGTGACTGCTACGTGATGGCAGCGTTTCTGTTCCGTAAAACCTGAACACCTCCCGGACACGTTCCAAAACAATTGAAATGTTGTAACGTGTCCGTAACACTATTGATCCTACTTTTGGAACGTGTCACTTACCCCCTGGTGTATATGTATTTGGGCCTTCTGCTGGTTCGACCTTTGTTGATTGTGGGAATGGTTGCTATTTGATGCCATCAGTCATACGTGACATGGTTGGATCTGTGCATCTCGACAGATTGATTGACCGCTATTATGATGAATTAGCACAATTGGAATCCCGTCCCAATGATGGGGATATCTCTGACTAATACTTGAATATTATATATATGAATTCATGTACATGATGGAATTCATGACTACAACGACTTGTAACTAAGAAATAATCCCAATGATACAAGCTTTATGTGATGAAATACAAGTCTTACACGCATATTTGGGACCCAAGATTTTTTTTTTTTTTAATTTTTTTTTTTTGAGGTGCGTGACCAAAAAGTGGACTTTTCGGGGTCTAAAAATTAAAAACCCGCGTATGTACGTGTCCTGAAAGGTGATTATTTAAGATTTTTCCAAAACTTCACCAGCGAAACTGGCTTTTTTACGTCACCCACCTCCATAGGGGTATTCCAGGGTCCTCCTTTTATCGAAAACAGTGTCACATTCATGTCAGGTGAGATTCTATTTAATATTCAAATATGCAAGCTTATTACGTCAAGTTTCATTTTGGTATGACATGTTCTATTTTCTCTGGCGCACTTGGAATCATAGGTCCAGATCTTTACAGTCCTGATTACAAGGGGTTCAAAGCCGCACAGATCCCGATTACGAGTTCAAAGCCACACAGATCCCGATTACGAGGGTTTCAAAGCCACACAGTCTTGTTCATGGTCTGATATCATCAAGCAATTTATTCCAGCTTTGCCATTACCTCTCACACCCGAGGATCTATCACATGCGCTAATCATTTGTGGTGTCAAGTTCAGTAGCGGTTGATTGGGCCACATGTGTGAGTGATTTCAAACTTGCCAGTCTTTGTAGCAACAGTGCACTCATTCTGTATTTCATTGATTTGGACTTTCAGGGCCTCTTGTCAACAATATTGCACTTGCCCACCAGCACAGGACCGTATCATGTCTCGGTCCAGATGGTTCGCAGCAAGAGGGCAATGACGCCGAAGCAGCCAGACTTACTGAGGCTCGAAATCTCAACATCACATTGTTCATTAACCTTAATAATGTAGGTTCGTTTTGTTTGACCATTGCACTTGTCTCGATTATTAATCAATCATCTACTTCTGCGTTTGAAGACCTCCAGGATTGAGAATACAATGATAACGTGGCTACGATCTTCCAGTTGTTGTCCCATCTACCTCGCCATACCTATACACTGGCAGTACTAAGGAAATGGATGACTGCATGGTCTTAGACACGATGTCAAAAGAGGATGTTACATCCAAAGGAATTTGCATCGACTCTGATCTCGAAGGTTCAACTGGTCGCAAGGCCATTCATGAATCTCATCCTGGACTCTTCATTCCTTCTGGTATCATCGAGTGTGCTAACTTTTGTGCTGCTGCTGAATTTTCTTTGATTTGTTTTCACAACTTGTGTTGAGCTACTTTCATTTTGAAAGAGAACAGCCAAGACCATTCTTATGGTGGTGATTATGAATTGGTACCAGGAAAAGATTAGGTGAGTTGTGGCTTTCAGCCAACATCCAAAGTGGTTCTGAGAGGAGCTAATCAAACGGGGTTCTTTCTTTTAAAACTTGGTACAGTTAATTGCTTTGGAGAAATCGTTCACCAAGCATCAGATGCAGTAGATCAAATTAGACTTGAAGGATTTCATTTTGGTTCTGTCAACAAATCGACCTTGAATGTGATTGATGAACAAGCCATGAATGAACATAGATATCAAAAGTTGACTTGGTAGTTGAGAGTAAATAGAAAAAACTGTGTTATTGGATCACTTTATCACAATAACCCTAATGAAATCAGAACTATTGGATTTCATGATGAGTCTCCAATAGGTCTATACATCTGTCAATCAATTCTCAACATCTCAAACCTAGAATTCAATGAACTGTTCAAAGTCTCTTGTAATCTAAAGAAATCCCGTACTACAGAAGATAGTAATCCTTCATTGTCAACTCCTCATCTTGATCAGCGTACAAAAGCTCACACCAAGTATCTATTTATCACACCGAAGAAGCAAAATTTTTAAGACTTTCAGCTGAATGATCAGCTGTTTTTTTGATCTCAATGACTCAAATTAGTTGAATGATCAAAAGGTCTTTTAAACATAAACTTTCTAAATCTAGAAAATATTTTGATCAAATCAACAAAATCCAGAAACAAACCAAAATCTTAATGAGGAAATTATATTGAAAAATGAGACATTCCTCCGGTTGAAAAGGCTCAGAAACGTTTAAGTAAATGGGGATGGCGTAATACTCAACCTCTGGTTAGATTTTTTGTAATCAAACGTAGACTCATTTTTACTATACTACCAGTTGGTTTACTTGAAAGAACTTCAATTCAAAGTTGTGATTTACTGATATTGTTTTGATCTGTATGGCATTTAATGCTACTCATTCCACTTCACCCATGCCTCAACACAACAATAATCCCATTTTTATTGTCTTATCAGAAACATTACTAGGACCATAAATCTCAAATCAAATTGGAATTGCAATCTGTGGTCACAATTTAGTAGAACCCCAGAGGTGTTCAGGACTTGGGTTTTGAAATCACAGGGTTTTGTCAAAGTCATACAGCTCAAGTTGAATTAAATTTATCCAAGGATACTGTTGGCAATTTTTGGAAGAAAGAAATTCCACAAGAATTATCTCATAAGAAATTGGATTGATTTTGGTCTTTCCTTCAATGTATGCAGAAGGTCTATTTTTTAAGAAAGAAAATCCACGAGAATTATCTGAGAAGAAATTGAATTGAATTTGGTTGTTTGTCAAATATATGCAGAAGGTTTTGAAGGTGATTTTCCCAATGAAAATTGTTCACTGCTTTGATTTTCTTAAATCTTTGTTTGTATCCTATAATCTTTCTTGCAAACAAGTTGCAGTTGAGATTGTTACTAAATTCATCAAAGTTTGCTAATCAAAATCTATTGTTTATGAACTGAATCATATCTCTTAGCTAATCAGAAGGCTTACAATATATGAAAGTTAAACCATGAGCATCTCCACCCAGTAAAGTCATCTTGAAACAAAATATTGAAAGAACAATACCTCATGCCTCAACTGCCCAATATTGAAATCTAATCGTGGTCAAAAACCTCAGTGTGGTGCTGTCTATGCACTTAATGAAGGATCTTATGTGTTGAATTTCAATGGTGGTTCTACAAGGGATATGTTTTCTGTGAAATATTGTTAAAAATTCAACTTGGACTTTTGATAAAGAGTTCATTAAATCAAAATTTCAATCAAAAACCAATCAAAATCATGTTTATAAGATTTTTTCTCAACCTTAATTTCTCTTTCAATTCAAATCTCCTCAATCTGTTCTTTTTCTTTTCTGCTACCTTGATTCAAATCTATATTAAAGCTATTCAATCTTCCTTTCTCCTCTAGCCCAAAAACATTTGGTTTTTTCTCATCAATCTTGGTATCAAAAATGTACAATGGATTGGTAACATTGGTGATGTTGGGAGTGTTTGTAGTAAAAGACATATTAGAATGAAACCTTTTAAGAATAAGGTATAAATTTAAGTTAACCACAATGGTAATTTTACCCTTTCCTTTTTGGGTGACTTAACATCTCTTGCCATGGCGTCTGGCAGCGGCGCCCGCCGCTAAAGTGCTAGTTTTAGAATAAGCCTTGAGATACATTCGGTAGTAACTCGAGAAGCCCAAAAAGCTCTGTATTTCTTTAACTGTCTGTGGAAGGGGTTTATGCAAAATAGCTGCGACTTTGTTTTGATCTATAGCCAGAGTAAGGCCGGAGACGATGTGACCTAGTGCTTTCACTTCGTCAAAGCCAAATTTGCATTTTTCTAAAGACACTACGCCAGATTGCAAATTTACCGCTGAGTTTAGAAAATTATACACAAGGTGGAAGGGGTCAAAAAAATGTGGAAAAAGAAGGGTTGCATTCCCCTGTGTGTGCCCATAATTTTGCATATTTTTACAGATTTTTACAGCAGCAGTGTATATCAGGTCAGAAACTCAGTTTATGTCCCAAACTGGCAGTCATGGAGGCATTAATCTTGTGATACCAATAAAGTTGTCAATTTTGTGACAACATCTGGAATGTCTGTCCATTCTGAAAGCTACATGTTTAATTTACCAGATACACATTAGAATGAGTGGTGTGTGTCCAAAAATGAAGAAGGTACAGCAATCACCGTCCCCAACAGCAAAGCTAGAAAAGCTTATAAATCTGTTCTGCAAGGGTTTTAGCATCCAAATGGAAACTGTAGATCCAGTATGTGGGTTTCATAATGTGCAACTGCCAAATTGATAAAAAGAAAATAGTTGTATTTGTGAGTGTTGAAAAGTTTCTGCCCAAGCCTGGGTAGTTTTGGACAAAATTTGAGTTTCTGACCAAATACACCCCAAAATCATTTTTCTATGGAACGACTTCAAAACTCAAGGTAAAAATATGAAAAAATATGCAAAATGATGGGAAATCACAGACTGATTCAACCATAATTTTTTCAATTTTTTCCTACCTCTCATGCATTGCTGAGAATTTCCTACATCTTGACTTTTCTAAACTCCATGGTAAATTATTGATTTGGTGTAGTGAGAGACTGTGGCTCCAAGTTTGTTGAGTTTGTGTAAGATGGTTGTTACACATTCTAAATGTTCTTCCCAGGTTTCATGAAAAATTATGATGTCGTCGATATAAACTATTACTCTGCCTTGCCTGAGTTCATCATGAAACTCCGTGTCCATCATTCTCTGAAAGAATGACGGTGCGTTTTTAATACCAAAGGGCATTCGCTGATATTCGAATATTCCTAAGTGGGAAATTATACGTAGGAATTTTTTACTGTTAGCTGCTATTTTATTTTGGTGAAATCCCTTCATCAAATCCATCGTGGTGATGAACTTTGCTTTTGCTAGATTAGTTATCACTTGTTCTATCCTTGGCATGGGGTATCTGTCTGGGACTGTGTAGGCATTAAGTGCTCTGAAATCCCCGCAGACGCGTGATTTGCCCCCGTGCCAAGCTACTACGCACGGAGTAGTTATATCTACTTCTTCATTTTGACCTACTTTCCTCAGTATTCCTAGGTTAATTAACTCGTTTGTGTGTCTTTCAAGTTCAATTCTATTTCTAGGGCTTGCTGGGTAGGCTGGTTTTCTTAAGATGGGTGGCCATGGTGCTTCCACTGTTAATTTGATCTCGACTTCGTATTTATCAATTGTGCCTATTTTTATTTGCCCCAGGCCAAAGGTATCAGAGAATTTCCGGATCAGTATTCAAATTTGTTCTGATTTCTCTGTGGACAGTTTTGTACAGATACTGATATCTTTTGGTATTTGTTTAAGATGTGTACTGTTGTTAGTTGGTACTATCATGGATATACATCTATTATTGTGTAAGGCAAATCTTTTCCTGCGATTATCATTTCCAATTGTGAAATATTTCTCCCAAGTGTGCATAATGTCAATACCATACAAGGACAGGAAATCGTCTCCTAGGATAAAATACGCAGGTGTTGCGTTTTCCATTACCACAAATTCTGGCTGGATACGAATAGATCCTTCCGTATGAGGGAAGATGACTGGTATTTCAATCACTCCTACGGCTCTAAGAGATCCTCCACAACTGGTAAAAGTGGTATTGCTTTTCGGCAGGATTTTCTCTGCCCAATCCGGTATAATTGAGGCTAGAAAGTTTTTTCCTACAGCTGAGCAGGCTGCTCCGCTATCGAGTAGAAGTTGTACTTCTTGATTTGCAATAATCACCGTCGTGAGGCTGTGTACTCCTACCATGTGGCATTTACCCACAGCAGGCCTAGATTTCATTTGCCTGGTGTCTGTGATTTGTTTACTGGCTAAACCTGCATGCCACTGCTGTGGTATCTCTGCTTCGGCTTGCAGTTGTGCTATGTTAAAGGAATTAGTATATGCTTCAATTGTCCTTATGTAGTTTTGTTGTTGACTTTCTTTGTTAATAGACTTCTCATGTATCAGGGAAAAATATGCTGGAATGCTTCCAATAGTAAGTCTAATCTCATCACCATAAGTTATTCCCATTTGGAATGTGTTCATCATATCTGACCCAATCATTACTTCTATTACATTTGTTCCGGATATGATTACGAAGTCTATCATAAGTATACAGGGATGTGTCTCATGTGGTATTTGTATTGGCAGGGTTATTTCTCCCAGTGCTAATAGTTCACCAGAAGCACTGAGATACGTTGTCCTCTGTGTTGGCTTCATATCTACTCTCCAGGTTCTCCATATCCGGTCTAGGATATGTGGGGTTATCATGGAATTACAAGCTCCCGTATCAATAAGTACATTGATAATTGACCCATTGCATGTTGCTAATAGGAATGGGCTTCCTAAGTCCTTAATTACGAAGTCTATCATAAGTATACAAGGATGTGTCTCATGTGGTATTTGTATCGGCAGGGTTATTTCTCCCAGTGCTAATAGTTCACCAGAAGCACTGAGATACGTTTTCCTCTGTGTTGGCTTCATATCTACTCTCCAGGTTCTCCATATCCGGTCTAGGATATGTGGGGTTATCATGGAATTACAAGCTCCCGTATCAATAAGTACATTGATAATTGACCCATTGCATGTTGCTAATAGGAATGGGCTTCCTAAGTCCTTAACTTTTGCTGATCGTTCCACAAAGAATGCTGGGTTAGTGATCATGTTTTCTATGCATGCTATGTCCATAACTTCGAAAGGTTCAGTCTTAATCATTCTTACCGTGCTGTTTTCATCC